ATTACGGATGAGGAAATTGCAGTTCAGAGGGCAGGGGACTTGCCCAGGGCCACACAGCAAGGGCACGGCTGGGACCAGAGGAGCCCTGACTCCGCACCTTGTCGTTGCCGTTTGCCCTTTATCATCCAGGGCCTCCATTCTGCCCCTTCTCACCTCACACAGCCAGTGTTGGACTTCCTGTCTGTGTGGCAGAGCCGGAAGTGCCGTGGCCCAGCCATCCCACAGCAGGAGACAGCAAGAGCCTAAATAGAACTTTAACGAAGACATGTAATTGATGGGTGTACTTGTTATTGAACAGGTAACACAACACACGGTCAGAATTCTTTAAAGCATAACAAATACGTGGTGAGAATTCCCCCTCCCACTTTGACCCTCCATGTCCCCAGTTCTCTCCTCCCCGGGTCACTCCTATTCTTACTTCCTCGGCCATCCTTAAAGTGTCTTTTCAATGCCCATACAAGCAAAACCAGATCCACGTGCTTTTCTCCCTACTTTTTTACGTAGGTGGTAACATACTGTCTTCGTTGTTTTCATTCAACAGTACATCTTGGGAATCTTTACACATCAGTATGCAAATAACTTCCTCGTTCTTTTTCACGGCTGCATAGTATTCCGTTGCGTACCTATATTATTAAACTATAATTCCCACACCGTAAAATTCACTCACTTACGGTGTACAATTCAGCGCCTTGTAGTACATTCACAGAGCTATGCAACCAGCACCGGAATCGATTGTAGAACACTTTCGTGATCCCCAAAAGAAACTCGGGACCACTTCGTTATCACCTCCATTCCCCAACCTCAGCCCTACTAATCTACTTTCCCTCCCTATAGATTTGTCATGTAAATGGAAGCAGGCAATATGTTGTCTTTTGTAACAGGCTTTTTTCACTTAGCACAAGGTTCATCGATGCTGTAACATATATCGGTACTGCATTTCTTTTTACTGCCAGAGAATGTTCCATTGCGTGGAAAAGCCATATTTTATTTATTCATCCATCTGTCGATGGACATTTAGGCTGCTTCCATTTTTTAGTTATTATAAATAATGCTGTTATGACCATCAGTATACCAGTTTTGTCTGGATGTATGTTTTTATTTTTCCTGGGTATGTATCTTGGAGTAGAATTGCTGGATAAATATGGCCTATTTTATTATTTCCTTATCTAGTTCTCTATTGATAAAAAATTGATCAAATTCCATCTTAAAAACCAACAACCCTCAAACTTTGGCAGGTCATGGTCATATTAGTGAGGATTCAGAAAAAAATATGAGGCTGGGAACAATGGCCGCATCACAGAAACTACCAAAATCCTCCAATCTTTCCTGCCTTCGTTTCCTTCTCTCTAAGACCCTTATTCTGGCACTTTCCAGGGCTCGAAGAAATCTATTCCAATTCTGACGCGGTCTGTGACTCGGGAGTGCAGGAGGGAGAAGGCCCCTCCTCACGGCCTGGCCCAGAGCCTGTCGCTCACTGACCCCGAGGGAAAGCCCCAGGCCCTCGGCTGTGCCCTCTGCACCTGCTCCTTCCTGTCTGGGTTTCCCCATCCAGGATATATCCCAAGAGGAAGTTGGTGACTCTTGCCCATGGAGTTTCCTGGCCCTATGACAACGGGCCTCTGCCACACCTGACCCAACAGGTGCAAAACGGGCATTCAGGAACCATCCAGGATATAAGCTGCTAAGCCAGCCTCGGGGAGAGCTTCCCGCCTTTGTAGGACTGGCTGGGACCTGGGAGGACCGGAGAATCCTTGGTACCAGCATGCTTTTAAACAATTATTTTGCTTTAGACCTTCTCAACAAGCCAAAGCCAGGAACTACGTTTTTATTCTGAGCCAACAGAAAAACGGATCAACTTAGAACTTCTGATTAATGGACTGAGAGGCAATTCACCAATTCCTCTCTTCTATGTAGTACTGCTCTAAAATTCTTGGGGTATCATGTTACTTCCTGCTCAGGAACGTCAGTGCAGCCCGACTTCAGCGGGACTGTGGCCATTTGCAAGGAGGAGTTCCATTTGATCATCTTCGCTTTCCATGGCAGCCGCTTAAACTGGCCTCCCCAAGAGTCAGAGAAAAGACCTCGTCATGGAATGTGAGTATTCCGCTATGATGCAAGGACGGGCAATTCTAGAATTACTTACACATTTTACATCACTACAAGTGCAAAATGGTGCAGACAAAAAGGTTTGTCTCTTCTACAGGGTGTGCTTTAACCATTAAGATAAACCTAACCCACCCTTGTCTTTTTAAGAAAAGAAAAATAAAGGACAGTCTATTTCAATAATTAATGCAGTGAGTTTCTTCTGTGTGGAAAATGGACTGGTTTTTAAAATAACTTAATGTTCTGTAGCGTTTAGTTGAGTATATTTTATATGTGTTTGAACATATAACATTATTCTATAATACTTCATGGAAAGGTCAATGAGTTTACACAGGTGTTCCGAGTTTAAATAAGTTCTCTTGCGCTAATTATGTTTATGATGTTCTCGTGGGGTTGATTTGTTTTCTAATAATTGTGGGAATTTTCCCCCCTTATTTACTTAAAGTTCTCAAACATTCCTCCAACTGTGGTGTAAAATTCCTGATCGTCGTATTGTTTCTTATGAGTGACCAAGTTTAGATGATTAAATCTGTTAATATGGGCTTTGTCGCACGTGCTTCGTAGACCTATTTTTAAATGGTTTTTCCCTTCTTCTGAAAGTAATAAGATGATTGACTCATTCTAACAATTAACTGTCATAAAAAAATGCCAGCCTCTCTGACTCTTGCATTAGCAAAATTAATTAGCAACGAACCAATATCAAATAGAAAGCATGTATGGAGCGCCTTTGGTCTACCCAGCAGCAGGCTGTGTGATTGATCCTGTGGCATATGCCCGAACACATCTGCATTCACGTAGAGCGAGAAATAGGGACTGGAACCAGTAAAGCTCCACGGGGAAACGTCTCACAGTTTTATGTGCGACTTCTTGGCTCTCATCATTTCTCTCCCCTAAACAGTTTTGAATGAAACAGCAATTAAGATCTTAATCTTCTGGTCTTGGAAGGGCACGCAGAGTCTTTACCCAAGGGCAATTCACCAAGGAGACCAGGAAAGTGCCTACTCTTCTATTTTGAAATGAATTTCTTTTTGAAAATAAATAGACATGGTACAAAATGTACAAAAGGGCATCAGTGAAAAGCACATCTCCTTCCCGCAAGTCTCTTCCCAGCGAGCAACCATGGTTTCCAGTCTCCTCTGTATTCTCCCAGAGATATCGTACATTTGCTTCAAGCAGATAACATATCCGTCCGTTCTTTACATATGTGATTGCACACCATATCAAGATTGGGTTATTTTTTTTAAAACTATTGATTTTTATGGCTGCATAGTATTTCACTGCATGTATTAAACCATCTCCTAAGTTGATGTTATTCAGCCATGTCTTAAGCATTAATCATCATACTGCAATGACGAGCCTTACACATGCATTGTTTCGAGCATATTCCAGTGTATCTACAAGATAAATTCCTATCGGTAGAATTGCTGGATCAAAGTAAGTCCATTTGTAATATCGATGTGCCCTCATTATTGGTTGTATAAATTTACACTCTCACCAACAATTAAGCAAAAGCCCGATAATGCTGTGAATATGTCCACAGTGTATTCTGAAACATCGTGAATTTGTGGAAATGATAGATAACAAAATGTTACCTTGTGATAGTTTCGATTTGCGTTTTCTTATTTCGAGTACTATTGAGAAGCTTGCTTCATGTTCAAGGTCCATTTCTTTTTGTTTAATCTGATTGTCCATATCCTTAGCATATTTTTCTATTAGAGTTTTGGACTTTTTCTTCTAGAACTGAAGAAACTTTTTCTTCTAGAACTTTTTCTTCTAGAACCTATTAGAGTTTTGGACTTTTTCTTCTAGAACTGAAAACTATTAAGAAATTTAGTGATATAAATTGTAATTATTCTCATTTGTCTGTTGGTTTCATGGTATGCAATAACTTTAACATTTTCTATGTAGTTGAATTTAATACTTGCTTGTCCCTTCCACCCTGAATTTTTGTGTTAAGCTTCGAAAGAGATATCCCACTCTGAGATGATAAAGGAAAAAATCTATGCTTTTTTTTATAGTAGTTTAAATTGTTTCTTTTTTTTAATGTTAAAATCTTTCATGTCTCTGCACTGTTTTTGGACATAAGGTGTGAGATATGGACCCAATGCTATACTCCACCAACGCTACTTATTGAACAATCCATTTTTTCCTTCCTGAGTAGGAATGTTCCTTTATTGTCTACCAAATTCTAATTCCTAACCTTTTGATGGTGTTTTACTCTGTTCCTTTGGTCTATCTGTCTATGTGTCACACTGTTTTAGTTACTCTAGTTTTACAGGGGAACTTTTCAGGCAGAGTTGTCCCTGATTCTGAAGAGCCCCCCACACCTTTTGCAAAGTCCAGTAAGCCACAGCTGGGCTGTGGGCAAGTAAAATATCCATTCATTCTAAAAAATGTAAATTATTTTTCTGTGGCCGGCTAAATTTCTGGCTAGGCTAATTTCCATTCATCACTCTTTTTTCCACATTCTTCCTAATTAGTCTTGACACCTGATTTTTCATTATGCATAGATTATCTATTTTGCAAAGAAATTCTACTGATATTTTTATTGCAATTATGTTAGTAGTATAGATTATTTTAGGGATAATTGACATCTTTAGGACGTTGTGTCTCCCATTCAAGAACTTGGTGTTTCGAACTCTTTTGATTTTTCAAAACATATTTATGTGTATATTGTTAAGCTCATGCTCATTCAACAAAGAAAGCCCCTTTCACGGTCCCCCGTTCCCACCGATGTATGGCCCACACCGCCATTGGCGGGCTTGGCCAGGCAGCTCAGCGTGGGATGCTCGGGCTCATCTCGATCTTTCTGTTTCTCAGTGACCAAGTGGACTTCTCAGGGAGGCCCCAACCAGACCCAGGCCAGCACTGTCCCGGGGCTCCTGCTGAGGGACGACATGGAGAACGGCACTAGGGCCCTGAAGGTTGCAGATGGGACCAGCGCTGCCTGGTACATCCTCACCATCATCGGCATCTGCGGAGTGGTGTTCCTCTTCCGGCTGGCCAGCAACATCCTCAGGAAGAACGATAAGTCCTTGGAAGATATTTATTACTCAAACTTCACCTCTGAACTAAAAAAGAAAGGGCTCCAGCACAAGGTAGCCAAATGCTCTGCATTGACCATTAGCAACAGAGCTGTCTTGCAGCCCGACCAGGACAGCCTGGGGCCCAAGTGTGGAAACAGTGGACGCCAAAACGAAACCCAAGGGATCTCTTGAAAGTCAAAGCAAGGAGGCCTCCACGGAAGAGGCCTAACTTTCTTGTGGGGGTGAGGGGAGCAGCTTTGCGTTTACCTGGAACCTTGAGACAGGAGCCACACCCTTGAGTGGGGCTGGAAGAGCATCACTGAGCCATGGGCACTTCTGGTAGATTATGGTGTGACCAAAGCCAGAGTCCTGTTTCCTTCTCAGGCTCTGTTGCTTGGAGATGAGAAAGCAGGGCCAGTGGGTTCTAACCACACTCTTCCTTCACTGGAAACGCTGTGCCCAGGGAAGGATCTAGGACATCCACTGTCCACAGAGGAATCTGGGAGACGCCCGGGGTATACGGGAAGGTGGCCTCTTGTCATGGAAAGAAGGTTAAATTTGGAGTCAAATGCCCAGGATGAATATTCACCTCTTAGGGGTGACATGACCTTTGAGCGGTTAGTGGTCCTAAAGGGCCACTCGTTCTAAAGACTCTGACTGGAATATAGAACTAAAGTTAACATCAGACGTTAGTTAGGGGTTCTTCATCTCCATGGAGAGGGTGGGGTCCATTGAAAAAAAGCATTTGTTTTGGAGTCAGAAGAATTAAACTCTAGTTTGGGTTTCATTATCAGCCACTTCGGTATCTTGGCTGATCCACACCACTTCGCCTCTCTGAACCTGAGTTTCTTGCAGATGAAATGAGGATAATAAACCAGTTCCGCCCACCTTACAAAGTAGATAAGAGTTCATGGGATCGTGCATACGCATGTATTTTGAAAAGTAACATAAATTTGTAAATATAAGCCTCATGGTGGTGGCGATGATAATGATGGTTGATGCTGGCGGCGATGTTGGTATGGGCGGTGAGGGTCATGCTTGATACTGGCGATGTTGTTGTTGGTAGTGGTTGATGCTGGTGGTCGTGGTGTGGATTTTGATGATGGTGGTGATGGTGGTGGTGTTGGGGTGGTCGATGTCGATGCTGGTGGTGGTGATGCTTCTGTGAAATAGGGAGCAACTAGTCCGCCAGCAGTCTGTAAGCGATGGCTGCATTACCTTGTTCTGCAGAAGGACCCATCGGCCTAACAGTTGATGCCTTGGACTCTGAATCAGGTCCACGAGATTCAAGTTTGACATGTAGTCACTTTTAGGTTTTGTTACCTTAGACATTGTATGATTCATTCCAATATTTTACAAAGATGTGGTTCTTTTACACTTGTCTCTGCCTACAAAAGAAATAAGATGTTGTCCAGATGACTGATTAATTTAGAGAGATTGCGATAGGCTGAATTTCTACGAGGGGCTTTCAGCAAGCAAAGAGAAAAATCATAGCTTGTACCAACCTCTGTGAATTTCATCTATTTTTGCTTTTGGAGATGCCCCCTGGTCTACAAATGAAATATTTTTTTCCCATCTGCAGACAGTGACCTACAAGCAGCCCCATGATTTCATAAGGTCCAGAATTAAACCCCAAGCTTTTGTTTTTGCAGGGCAAGATAAACTTACAAATATATTTTTTTAAATATATATTTCCACTTCATCATTTCACAGGTTCTCCAACAAAAGTGTTGGTTTGTTTATATAGTTAGGACAACTTTTAGTAGCAGCCCTATCGAAGTAACATTTTACACTGGTGCAGTGCACGTAATCTGAGGTCATGTGATTCCCCGGACAGTATGTGGGAAGGCATTTGGAGCCTCCACACCCTCTCTGGGTGGGCCACTCTCCCAGCACCTCCCTACGTATGTTCGCCAATCAGAAGCTTTCCGAATCCTGCTTTTTGGGGGTTTTTTATGCAAGCTTCATTATGTGGGCATGGTGGATTAAATCATTAGCCATTGGTGATTAATTCAATCACCAGCCTCTCTTCCCTCCCCAGAGGTTGGGGGATGGGGCTGAAAGCTTCAACCCTTTAATCACAGATTGGTTCCTCTGGCAACCAGCCTCCATCCCTTGTAGGGGCCCACCAAGAGTCACTTAATTAGCATAAACTCAGGTATGGTTGAAAGCACCTTGTTATGAATAATAAAAGATACTTCTATCGCTCGGGAAATTCCAAGTGTTTTAGAAGCTCAAGCTAGGAACTGGGGACAAAGACCAAATATATGTTTCTTATATCACAGACATGAAAAGGCTCAGGCACTGTACTAGACCCAGAAATACAGAGAAACACAGTCTCCTGGAGAAGACAGGGTCAAGGGGCCACTTATAGGGCAGGACAGTATGAGCAAAGCTGGAAGTGAGCAAAGCCGGGGTTTCATGGGAGCAGGGAGGCTGGCAGGTAACCCTGGTCAAAAATAATGTGTGTGTTGGGGGCGGGGGGGCGGGCAGGGGGGTATGTAAGGGAGGCTCCGGGAGAAGAATGGCCCATCAGGGACTTGCATGTAATAAATGCCTCCTACAGAGGGAGAGATTCAGGGCGGGTCGCTTTCATAAGAAGTCATGGCCCCTTTTAGGTTCTGCATAGCCATGGACATTCCCCCCAATAAGACTCCCCACCCCAAACCTGGCAGGGTGACCTCATGAGTGTGTGGCAGAAGGAGACTCTTCCACAGGCTGTATATGAACTCTTTGTAAGAAAAGTGTGCCCAAAGTCTTGGTAATTTGGGACAATATGTGATGACAGAACTGAAAAATTGATCCATACACATCAGCTCAGGGCAGAAAAAGAGATGTATGCCATCCACCCTCAGCATCTACTCCAGCTCGACACGCTGGAGATTTTAGGGAAGTGAAACCAACTAGCAGGATTATGCTGATGAGTCTCAGTAAAAGCTGTAAATGTCAAATTAAGCCACAGCACCTAGATGCCATGGATTTCTGTGTCGCTTTCACGTGCACAGAAACCCCGAAGTTCTTTAGAGAGTAGTATTGTCATTTGCCGGGGAGATGCTGAGCTGTCTGCGCCCCGTCATGTTCTTCTTGGATTGTCTGAAACCTTGATTATCTCATGTCTTCTGCTCTAAGCTGCCACCAAGGCCCAGACAAGAACTTATACACAGACGTGTCTTTATTAGTATGAAATGCAGCGGGGAACCGCCATCTCTCTATGCTTGGCAGGGCCCTTTATCCCACACCCCCTGCCTTGTAAACCCACTGGGCACAAAGCTATGTTAGGAAATTTAATTAGTAGAAAACAGATCAGTGGGGGTTCCAGTTGGTGCCCAAGCTGCGTCCCCCCACTGGGGTCAGATGTGTCCGAACAACCATTGGTGAGGCTTTTTGCACAAAAGACAGAGGACAGATCTGCTCCTGGGAAAAGAGAGATACAGGGAAACAAGTCTGGCTCCCCCTTGGAGCCTGAGTGCCAAGAAGTCAAAGCAAGAATCTTGAGATGTACCGGGGGCTGCTTAAGTCACAACACATCCCATAACCATGTGATGGGTGGGGGGGTGAAATGTGCAAAATCTGAGCAGGAGGGGTTTTGGCTTCGGCCGAAAGGATCTGAGCTTCTCGGGAGATGGGCGAACACCTGAACCACACTCCAGGTGCCGTTGGGAACGGGGGCAGGGAAAACGGAAGCAGGGTCAGCAACCGTGTGTCCGTTAAAGATTCACCAGGAAGAGAAAAAAAACTAACAATTAAATGCTGGGCGTTTTGACTTATACCAGCCCAGGCAACCCCCTTATGAACTTCATGAGGTGGGTACTCAGGGAATTGAGGCTCAGAGGAGCTAAGAAATCTGTCACGCAAGGGCAAGAAGTTCAAAGCCAGGTCTATCAGATTCCAAAGTCCACTTGTCGTTTCCGTTAAGTTTCTGTCCAAAGCATACTTTAATTTTCCTTCAAGGCGAGGATTGGGAAGGCTACTCGTGACGGCTAGGTCTATTTCTCACTCGCGCCACCTGCGCAGAAGCTTAGCTGGGGCTGGGCTCTGTGTCATCATGCCCCCCACTCTGAGACCCAGGTTTCTGGGGCAGCCGCTCCCTGAAACACTGCTGGTCTCAGGGCTGCAGGGGAGAGCTCTGGAGGGTCTCACCTGGACGATTAAATAAACGCTCCACCTGGAAGCGTCCCTTCCGCCTGCCACTCATTGGCTACAATTAGGCCACGGCTGCCACCACCTCAAGGGGGTAGAGAAAAGCCATCCCACCGACCGCATGTCTGGAAGGTCGAGGGTCAGAAAATCTGGGGAACACACTAATGGCTACCATAGAGTTGAACCAGATCTGAGGTTCTCAAATGATATGCTCTGGATCGCATGTTTGTGTCCACACCTCCCACCTACCCAAATATGTTAAAATCTTAACCTCTGCTGGGATGGTTTTAGGAGCTAGGGCCTTCGGGGGCAATTAGGTCACGACGTGGTGCCCTCGAGAGTGGGGTTAGCATCCTCATGAGACGAGACACAAGACCTTGCCTCCTCTCTCCGGCTCCACTGTGTGAGGGCGCGGCTGGGAGGCAGCCATCTGCAAACCAGGAGCGGCCCTCGCCAGACACCGGATCCACCGGCAACTTGATCTTGGACTTCCAGCGTCCTGTGAGAAGTAAGTGTTTGCTGTTAAAGCACCCTCCCCGCCTCTGCCCTGCCCCTCAAGTCCATGGTAACTGGTTATCACAGCTGGATGGACGAAGAAACCACGTTCCACGGAGACCCCTGAGCGCCGAGGAGCCCAGCCCCATCCCCTGCTTTCTCTCTCGTTTATATAAAACTCAAGTGTTTCTGTACGAAAACATGTGTGTGTGTGTGTGTGTGTGTGTGTGTGTGTGTGTGTGTGTTGACATGAGGGGGAAAGTCGTTCGGCTCCTGTTACAGCGAACCCAGAGGCCCCCGCCGGCCCTGACATTCCGTGCTCCCACCAGGCCGCCCGGGCCTCGTTCTAAGACGCGGTTCTCACCTTGGCTTGACCTTAGAACCACGCAGAAGCTCGTGGAAACCTCAGTGAGGCCCAGGCCTCAGCCTGGATCAGTCCGGTCAGAACCTCTGAGTGTGGGGCCCAGATGTGGGCGGCTCTGTGGGGCTCCCCAGACGGTCCCTCCACGCACCCCCTTGAGGACCCACTGCTGTTCCAGGCAGACCCTGGAGGGAGC